AAAATTTCAAAACAAAAGGTCAAAGCGACGAGAGCTATATTTTTTAAAGTTCTGGGATGTGCACTAAAAAGAAGCTGAGATAATTGCTAATTTGCATAACAATTCACTCAGTAAGAAGTTTGCTAATGCTCATAATTAAAATGGCTGTAACAGTTCCAATTTAAACCTATTATCGTTTTGTAAAAAGTTAAATATCGTGCATTATATGGAGATCCCGTCATTACTTTTTTTTCACCATGTTTCTTTTTGATTATTTATTTATAGCCTTGCTAAATCTTGCTAAGCATTCAAAGGAGAGAATGTTTGTACCCGTTTTCTATATTTTAAAATCGTATTTTGAGTATGTTCCACTATTCACAATTCTACAAAATTTGAACAGTCTATAGCCAAGACTGTTTGTGTAATAAAAAGCTAAAAAAAAAAAAGTGCCCACGAACCTACATTTCTACCTTAACTCTGTATTCTGCTGCCATCATTGTGACTACAGGTCAGTATTAATCAGATGCGTTCTCCTTTTCAAAGCATTGAATACCCCTTTTTTGATTGTAACAAGGCAATGATTTTGGAATGCTTCGTGTAGCGTCTTTTTTCTTTGGTGCTAGTTATTTTTTCAAGATCCATGTTCCAATAGTGTGCCTACATTGTTTTTAATTTGTGTCTTTCTTTATAATATTAAACTCCCATAACGAGTTTAAAATTCACCATACCCAGAACAGATTTATTACGTTGAATGTATATTATTCTAATCAGTGACATCATATTACATGTATATGTAAAGTAATATACTTTGACTTTATTCTTGAAGTAGTAGTGGTTAGACGTTCAATATAGTAATTGTATATGAATCATTATTATTATTGTTATTGTTATTGTTATTATTATCTAAAAATGTGACAGCTCATAGTTTTTTTTCTCATAGGGTGGTGTGAATGTTGAACCACCTGAAGAAAATCAAACTCCTGGTGCCATTGAATCTGATATGATGTTAGATCCTCTACAGAGTGCTGCTATCATTGAAAGCAGTGACGCTATTAATAATGGAGTGGATGCACATAAAGCACGTACTGCTTTGGCAAGTCGTTAGCCAAATGCTATTGTACCGTATGTGATATCTGCTGACAGTATGTATTGTTTCCAAACCTGAATCCAAGAAAGGCTTGGACCGACCAAGGGAATGCACATCGTTAATACACTACTCATGCACTTCTCGTTTAATTGATTTTATTTCATTAAAATTATTTCATTATAGGACAACTCAATCTCGGGCGTGATATCATTTCTTAGGAGTTTGATATACGCCATCTATCTTGATGCATTATCTGATTGAAAAGTCTGACTGGTAAAATTTGTTTTCGTGATATGCCAGAACTGATTGTATTCAAACAATACACACATGTAATATATTCAATTCAATGTGTCCAATAGAACATAGTTTATACAAATATACATTATAACATTATAACTTTATTTCTTATTGTTACAAGATGTATACAAATTAAATTGGATACAAAATAAAATTATTAAGTGATTTTCCTGCTGTAGAGCGTGACAAGTTTGTGTAATATAGTGGTTTATTGTTCATTGTTGATTACATTATCATGTGACAACATTAACATCATCTGTATGATGACATTTTGAACTCTGGGCCCAGAATTAATTGTTTCCTTTATCCAATCCATTGTCAGCTTTCAGTTTAGTACACATTTTGAATCGAAGGAATGTATTCATGTAAAGGGTAACTAATGTTGTTCATATCCAATACTTTTACCATTGTGGCAAATATTGTGAGAGCATACTGTGATTTTATTCGAGCAGTGTTGACATCATTAGCTTTCAGAATTACACCAATGTTTGTCTGATGACGTGTGTGTACCAGTTAAAGGTGTATAGAACGTGTTTTTAATATTCATCGTTTTGCAATAGCTGTACAGTGAAGTGAACATCGATTTGTGTATCTCATAGCAATGTTTGACATAAAAATGATCCATCAATACGAGAAGCCATAGTCTATGCACGATGGTTAATATTCTCGTTTGCAAACAGTGATACACTGCATATTCAATGTTTTGTATTTGTTCAGCTGATGTCATAATAATTGAATATGCAGTGTATCACTATTTGCAGAC